AGTTCCTCAAAGAATGTCACAAGGTCTCACACTGATAAGGCAGTATCATCTGCAGCGGGGCAACATGGCAGGGATTAAAGGTGAAAGAGAGAATCCAAATAATGTTAAAACTATAACTTTGAATGTTAAATATCAAAATTTAAATATTTATCTTCTCATGTATCCTTTTAATTAGTTCTTTATACATAACAAGTTCTGTTTTAAAAACTTTCTAAAAAAAAAAGAATTTCTGTCTCTTCTGTTGTTACAATAAAGTAGACCTAGGAATCCCAAGGCAGTTGATACCTAGCCAGTGTTTCTGTCCACCATATCTCAGCACTGATCTGTTATATTTATATTCCTTTGATAGGGTGAATCTGTCAAGAATTCAGCAGAACTATTAAAAGGTTATCATTCTGGAAAATTCCTTATCAGTCTTATGTGTTTCATGTTGGCCCCAATATAGAACTTAAATCTTTTAGGAGCATTAGAATCTTCATCAAGATAAACGTTCCTTTAAAATGTTATGAAAATTTGTTTTTAAAGAGCCTTGTCAATATAAAACAGTCATTTTATAGAGCATACCTTTTCGTCTTTCTTAGCAAAGACATTAGCCACATAGCTACCCTAATGTACAGCTTAGAAGAACATCATTCTAAATGCTCAATTTAAGACTCAAGTTATACGATACTTTGACTCCTCTAACTGCAAATGTTTCAGTGATACCATTATTTTCCTACTAAGTTCCTTTCAAGGCTTGCCTTGCTCATGGCTGGTTAAGAAAAATCAATTTGGCTGCCATTCACAAATGTTTATAGACACCATTTTGAAAAAGAAAAGCTAGCAAAACAAAGTGTGTTTTGTTACGATTGCATCTTAGATCTTGTATCTGAGGATATGCCATCAACAGGGCATGGATTTTCAGTGTTTTCTAGAAGTCAGGAAGTGGCGAATTTGAGTACTCTTTCCTGGTCTTCCTTTTCTGACCAAAGCATGTATGCACACGCATGTGCACAAGTGTGCGGTGACTAGAGTCAGGGACAGAAACATGCAACCCTGGCCTCATCTTTAGCATCACGTTAAAGCATCCTTATCTCATCCCCCCCAGACTGTATAAGTTGTGGAGAAAAAAACTCAAGAATTGCCGTTTTCATTGGATGGGCGTTATTGTACTTCACTGGCATTCAATACAGCATATTGGGTCCAGGTTTGGATCCCAGCTCCATTATTTATTAACAGCCTGACTTTGGGGAAGTTCTTAACCTCATTGTGTCTCAATTACCTCATCTCCAATATGGGGATAATAAAACTACTTCACCTCACTGGTTTATTGTGAGGTTCAAATGAGTTAATGCAAGCCCTCAGAATGGAGGTTGGTGAACATTCTTCTCCAAATCAGTGCAGGCACAGTTAAGAAACAATCCTCCAAGACGCAGAATTATTTCTACTATGAGGATGGAAGACACGATACAATACATATGTAGTATCCCATTTGTGAGCACCTCCAGAAGACAAATTTTTCTACTCTTAGCACCAGATATGATTTTATTTTTCCTAAAAATTGTTTCATCTTTCTGGACATTGTGAATTTTGCAAGTCATCAGTTTCCACTCTTACATGAAAATTTAAAGTCCTTTCATGGAAAATATATAGGATTTGGCAATCCTTTTTTAATTCCTACCATTTCTGGTTATGTTTTATGTCTTTATTCATACATTTTTTCTCTTTATTTTTCACTTACTTCTAGTTTGTGCTATCTTACTATATTTTCACATAGTTTACCTTAACTCCTTTTAGATAAAAAGATGACAGTAGAAACAAAATATTAGAGCCACATTGTGCTTATCCTCAATGAAAATGACCCTGCTTTCTGGACTTAATGAAAAGTGACCAGACTCTTAGTCAGACTTCATTAGAGAATCACACTATCTGCAGATGAGTTGCTTCCTATGTTCACAGAATCTTAAATTATGAAACAAACCACTAGGTGGCTTCATTAACTTGCAATTAAAGGTCTCTAATAATTTTTCTTTTAGCTCCTAAGTCTGATGCCTCAGACCCTCTTCTCTCCAAGTGTAGCCAAATCTCTATTTTTCAGAGACCCACCCACCATTGGATTATCCAGGCTTTGGACATTTTTTAAACCTTTCCTCTACTGCTGTCCATCTATCAGTCATTTTGGTATTCCTAAATATCAACACTGAATGTTACACAAATTCATTCAGTGTCTGCTACTCTAATAAAACACTTGATGGGGAAGCAACATATAGCTAACAATCGATATGAGATTTAAAGATCTGCTAAGGATGGATGCATAGCTGGCCCATCTTTGGATCCCACCTTCTCCTACTGTGGCTTGAGGACAACTTGCACATGATAGGTGCTTTTCGAAATTAGTAGAATGAAACTGTAGATCTCATACATCCATATTATTACTATCTTCTTTCGACCAAACAATTATGGATAGTCATATATAAAAGTATCTGGAGGTTTTGTGCAAAATTTAAAGCTCTAAAACCAGTAGAAGCTTGGGTAGGATTTTAACTAAGAATGGCATTTGATAAAATAAATGGTAAGAAAAGAATGTGAATTCCTCTTACACATATGACCCTAAAGAATAGAATCTAAAGGCAGCAAATGAGAA